CCAGTGGGAGGGTTGGAAATGAAGGTTGTGACTGAATAGAAGCGGCGGCAGGACTTACAAGGAGATGATTTCCCAAGTCCAGTCTGTTTTCTAGGTGCTAGAAACATATTTTACCCCCCTGTTGGATTCTCCTGTTCCTTTTCCTGAACCCCCTCCCTTTGAAAGGGCTGTGTGGTGCTGAGGAGCTCTGGGCAAGTTTCCCCCTTTTCCTTCTTAGGAGTCCTCCCTGTTCTTGATGACCTCAGTATATTTTTTTTTACACTATTTTCTGCTTACCAAGTGTGCAAGGAAGGCTGATGGTGCCCGTGGTGCCCTCTGGCTTCTCAGTCACCCAGTAAAATCACTGCTTCTCTCATTGGGTTTTGAATAAGTTTTTGGAAGTTTAACTCATCATTTATGGGGATCTTATGCAGCAGAGAAATTGCCAGAAAATTTCTCACTGGTTTATATTAAGTCACTGATTTCACAGACAATGTTGGATTATTATTTTTTTTCTTTTCTTTCCTCTGTCTTAGATTTTTTTCTGGCTTCTTTTTAAACTTCTGAAATCTACATTTAATTTCAGTTTGATTTTCAGTTTCTTTCCAAAGCAGCTGGGTCAGTCAACCTGTTGAGCTGACAGAAAATACAAGCAATGCTCAGTCTTCTCCCTGTCAAATGTGGTTTATCAGGGATTTAGTAAATTTGGTCCACTGGGGGGAATGCTCATTTCCCAGGGAATGTTGGGTTTTGATGCAGAGTGTGATGAGCCTGCTCAGTTGTGCCCAGAGTTCCTAAGGGATGACATTAAAAGTCTGTTTTCTTGGAATCACCAGGATACCCATTTCAGATACAACATCAGCATTCACCCCAAAACATTGACACTATTATTGACAGTAACAGGGAATTGCAAGTGATTCACAAGTTGCCTTTTTTTTTTCCTCATCTAAAGTGTGGGAAGACTGGGACTGGTCTATGTGGATGCTCTGGATTCCACACTAGAAATGATGTGGTTAGGACTGGAAATAAACAGAGGGGCATCATGAGTTGAAGTCACCTCTGCTTTTCCAGTCAGGGGGTTAAGTTACCCCCGTGTGAAAGGGCAGAGCCTGTTCCCCCCCACCCCCAAGGTTTGTTTTTAGAGGCAGCTCTTGGCTGGGCTGGCATTGGACAGGGAGCTTTTCCTTGGAGCTCTGCCAGTTCCCAGTTTAAGTCAGGTCTGTCCTGTTACTAGACCAGAGGGAGACACCAGCTCACGGAGCTACTGGCAGGTGAGTTCTTTTCCAAGGTGGGATATTGTGCTTTCTGCAGACTAAGGTCAGGAGCTACTCCAGCCTAGAGCTGCTGTGCTTTTGGGCAGGGGCTTCTTTCTTAGCCAAAAAGGACTTTTTGCCTTCCTTTTATCCCCCCACCTTTTAAATGACACCTTTGATTTCTGAAAATAGCCTCCCAGTTGCTGCCATTTGTCATATAAAGGACAATGTGAGTCTGGGTGCCTGGAGCTGCAGGGAGTGGGTGTTGTTTAGGGAAATTGCCATGGTTTTAGTTTCTGTCAGGACTTGATCTCCTCCTTTCTGCCTTTAGTGCACTCTTGACCTCCCTAACTAAGATCCTGGATCCTTTGGGAAACCTTGTCCTGGCTTTTATGGGATAGCATCCAGAGTTGTCTGGGTTTTTTTTTACTGGATGTATATGATTTATTTTATGATAAGCCATTCAAAAAGCTCCCAAGCACCTGTTTGTATGATCAGGACTCTTCCTTCTGCTCTCTAATAACCTGAATGTTCCAGTCCTGCCTCTGGGGATGGAGACCTGAGGATTATAGGACTTGATTTGAGCCCATTATGAGCAGGGGCTTCTCTCCTGCTGCTAACCTGGTGTCATAAACATTTTCTGTTAAGAATAACATTTTTCTCAGCATGAATATCCAGATTTTTGAGCAAAAGTGACAGTGAGGGCTCAGAGCAGGACGGCTGAGGGTATCCAGTTCACCCCAAATCAGGTGTGGGAACCCATGTGCTCCCATTCTCCCCATGATATGAATGTGTACCTGCCCTGGGATGTCTTTAGCTGCTTCAAAGTGTTACCTTCCTTAAGTTGGGGGTTATGCTTTTTATCTTCTTGTCATAGAATCCCAGGCTGGTTTTGGTTGGAAGGGACCTTAAAGATCACCTAGTCCCACCCCCCTGCTATAGGCAGGGACACCTCCCACCAGCCCAGGTTGTTCCGAGCCCCATCCAACCTGCCCTTGAACACTTTCAGGGATGGGGCAGCCACAGCTTCTCTGGGCAACCCGGGCCAGTGTCTCACACCCTGAGTGAAGAATTTCCTCCTAATGTCTCACCTAAATCTCCCTCTTCCAGTTTTGATCCATTCCCCCTTGTCCTCTCACTACACCTACCAAGCCTTCTCTCTCTTGCTCCCCTCCTTTACCCAGTCATTCTTTTCCCCATTGCAATGTTTCTCCTCCCCATAAATCAGGAGTTACCTGTTGATCCACACTCCTGGGAACTGCACAGGTGGGTTGTTGCTGCTGCCTGGGTTCTCAGCTTGCTGCAGCCCTCAGGCAGAGGTGGGGTAATTTGCCCAGTCCCTCTATATAATGTGGTGGGAGGGATAGAAAGAAAAACAATAAAAAGCTAGGAAAGATTTTCCCAATGAAAAAGGATTAAAGGCACATCATCTTTGTTTAGAAAGCAGGTGACATGGTTAAGGAGTAAGTGACATCATTAAGGAGTAAGTTAAGCAGCGTAACTGGTTCATACTGACAAGCAATAGCTGCTGCCTGGCCAGAACATGGTTAACTTTGAGTTGGTACCTCTGGGGCTCTTTTCCACCAGCCCCTCTGCCAGAGGGGTCAGTCCTTGCAAACTCAACCTTTATTTTTGCCCAAAAATGTGAAAGAACTGTCCTGTAATCAAACACGGGACTGACTCCCTTTCCATTAGAAAAGGTGTCAGAAAAGGCCCCTCTCCCCAGAGTCATCTGTATCTCATTGAAATCAGAAAGCTGCTCAGGGCTGGATTTTTTAAATACCTCAGCTTCACCATGGGCTCACAGAGGAAGTTCCAGTCCAGCTGTCAGCTCCCAGTGGGGAAGTAATGAAAAGTCCTTAAAGGGAGCTGAAGACTTTTGATTCCAAATGTCCTGTAAGCCACCCTGCTCCATGGCAGCACAGCACCTGTTGCCTCTGCCCACGTCTTGTCTTGTGAATCTCAAGAGACCTTTGAGAGCAAAAAATACAGGGACATGAAGAGAGCAGCTGCTTTAAATGACTCACTGAACATGAAACAGTCAGAGGAACCTCCCACCTACCCAGCCTACTGAAGGCCAGTGGTCTGGTGTCCAAACAGCTTCTCCCTAGGAATTATTTTGGGGGAATATGCACCTTTCTCTCGTGTTAAACCCTCTCTGCCAGACCTCTGCTGTAAATCAGTGCAAAACACAGACTGTGTGTGTTCAGCACAAAAAGGCAGAAGGATGAGACTCTGGTGGGAGCAGCTGGTGCTGTGCTCAAGCACTGCCCTGTGGCAGGAGTTTAATCCTCTCCTTTTCCTGATTTCCCCCTCCCAGTGGGATCAGGTGATGAACAACTGTCTAACCATCACAATGAGTTGGCTCCACAGTACCTGAGGAGCTGTGCACTAACTGCAAGGCTTTATTTTAGACCTTGTCAAGCCAATTTAGAGCTAGCCCAGGTAGCTTGATGTGTTATTTTCTTGTGTTCTAGTTAAATTTGAGAAATAATAATTTTATACAGCTCACTACTGGCTCAGCAAGCTAGTCTGTTCTCTGACTTGAGGAATCCTATCCAACCTCTAGTGGAAATCTGGAAGAGCCTGACATTTTCCACATTAGCTCTGTCCATGGCATGGAAAGCTTCTCTCATCCCCCCAGCTCCATACAAGTTCAGTCCTACTTAATCATACAGAATCCTGCCTTAGCATTATTAGTTCCCTCTGTTTTTTTGCTTCTCATGCTGTCCTTTTGCTTGAGGCAGCCCAAGTTCTGTGCCCACACCTTTCCAGTATCTTCCTGATCAAGGCCCATCTTGCAGGTCAAACTGCAAAAGTTCAACCTGCACAACAGGGAAATTATCTTTGCTTTTGCCTTTATGTGGGACCCAAAGGATGTCCAGATTCCAGGAGAGGCTCATAACTGACCTCACTGTGCCAGCAAGCATAGAAGCTGTAACATAACCTGTAACATAAACTACTCCCTTGAAGGCCGAGACTTAGCAAGGAGCTTAGGGCTCTGCATTGGTATCAGAACCCAACTCCAGGATGAGCTGGCCCTCACAGATACCTTCAGCTTGGGTTTCATTCACAGGCTTCATTTCAGTATATTAGAAGACCAGGTTCATGCTGCTAAACTGCACAATTCATGTTGGCATAAAAGTAAAGAGCATCAATGTAGAATTTATCCTGCTAGATTGGACACGTGTCCATTTCCATCAGATAACTTGTCTCTTAATGGGTGTTGAAAGACACTGGAGATGGAACCACAGGGAGAAAACTCACTCTGAGTCTCCAGAAGATAGACTGGCTTATATCCATCTGGGATAATCCAGAGTGTCTTGTCTCTGGCATGGAGCTGCTGTGATACTGGCTGTTCTAGAGAAATCCAAGAGGTTTTCTTATAATCAGAAGAAGGCAGAGACATTCCAGCCCTGGAGCTTCCACTCCAAATATGCTTTGTCTAAGAGAGTGGATCTAGAGCAAAACGTGGGAGCAGCATCTCTGACCCCATGTGTGTTACATGACAGTTGACGAGATCCAACACCAAGTGACCTGCTGGGATGTTCAGATTAGCATTTAAATGCCTAGAATTTGGAACTGATGTGAACTTTTGGAAGTGGAAAGGAAGTGCTGAGGGAACCTGTTGTAAATACCTGGGCGTGGCATCTGGTTCACTGCTGGTCTGAGGCAGGGTGAAGAAAAAGGACTTCTCTAGTTTTCAAGCCTCTGCTAATTTTCCTGATGGTAAAATGATCTCTTTCCTTTAACCCTGTGGCTCCAGGAAGACAGTTCAGAAGGGAAAACTCATGGATCTCACAAGCACTGTCATCATCCCGCTGCTGGTCGGCAGCCTGGGGATCTTTGCGGTTTTCCGGCTGCTGCAGTGGATGCGGATGCGGGCCCACCTGCAGAAGGCTGTGGTGGTCATCACAGGGGCCACCTCTGGCCTGGGAAAAGGTGGGTACTGAGGGCAGGGCAGGATAAGCAGAGGGCTGTGAAAGGGGCAGCTCTTGAAATGAAGCAGCAAGGAGCAGAATGTTCCTGTCACTGCAGATTCGAGACTTTGCTTGCACAGCAGCATCGGTCACAGCGACAGCCAGAACAAGCCCTGCTGCAGGGAAGTCTCCACATTTGTCCAGGAAGGTTTCATCATGCTCTATAAACTGCAGCTCATCAAAGCAAGGAACAAGTTGTGCTGTTCTCATGGGTCTTTTCTCTAAATCCTGAAAAAGCCAGGAAGTCAAATCGTTTCTCCCAAGCTTCCCAGAACTGGTGTCCTACTCTCTGTTGTATTTCCAGATACTCCTCCTCCCTCTCCTCCAAGTTAAGGTACCTTTTCTTCTGTAGTACAATTCCATCCATTCCAAATTCAAACTCTTGGCAGCAGTAACACCAATGACACTTTTGCCAAAACCAATTTTGTTCTAATTGAACACACAGTATTTTTTTTTTCCAAATAAAATCTGCTCCTTCTGCCAATGGATACAGTCTCTAATTCTGCTTTTTAGAATTGCTTTAAAAGCTTCTTGAAGAAAAGACAAGGTGCTCTCTGCTATCCAGGCCTTTCATTAGTACATTTATAGAACAAATTGATGCTGTCTTTGCATGTGACTTTGTCTTTAAGGGCTGTTCAGTAACTGAATGGCCAAAGGAGATGAAAGGGCCCTCCCTGCCTGTCACAGCCAAAGATTTGGGAGCAGCAGAAGAATTTGCATTTCATATGGAATAGTCTCCTAAGGGAAGTAGTAGATTTTCCCACATTGGACAGTTTTAAGTCTCAGCTTGACAGGGTGCTGAGCCATCTCATATAAACTATAGTAGTACCTAGAAAGGTTGGACCAGATGATCCTTGAGGTCCTTTCCAACCTGGCGTTCTAAGGTATCAAGAGGAGATAGGAGGAGTGTCTCAGGAGAGTCCTTCCAGCTGTGACTGGCTGGGCAGATGAGGCCCTATGTGCTGTTGGGTGTGTGGGTTTTCACCACATTGCAGTGAAGTTTCCCCCTGATTGACTCACTGGCAAGATCTGACACTATTCCACTCACTCCCAATGCTTAATTTACTAGACCATCTCTAATTACTTTGTTCTTCAACCCCCTTTGTTAGCACCCGCTGTCATCTCCTGCACAACTCAGCAGTTTGTCTCACTGGTCCCCAAGGAGATGAGCAAAAGATGCCTTTGCCTCCAAACTGGAAGGAGGACACTAGCATAGCATCCCTTCAGCAGCCTTTTCTTGAGGAAGAGGATCACCCTGATGAAACTCCAGGGCTTCCAGAACTTTTGGAGGTGTTCACTGAAATTGAAACTCCCAAGAGCAGGCCCTGCTGTATTAGGTGACACACACAGGGTATCTGCAGCCCCACTTAGAAGGGCACATGGTCAACAATGAAGAGACACAGGCACGTTTGACCAGCTGATGTGTGAGCAGCACAGTCACGGGGAACCAGTCACGGGGAACACACCAGCTGCCTCACCCCTGTTATGAGTCTGCCAAAGTCACAGGAAAATGGCATCTTGCTGTGACTTCACTGTAAATCAGTCTGTCTCTCCAGAGGCATAAAGCCACCTTAGATTCTCACCAGCTAAAAGAAGTTTCAGCCTGTCACCAGGTGTGACAGGGACCTGATGCTTGTCTCTGGCATCTAAATGTCTGCCTTTCTTTCTCCCTTCCTTCCTCCAAAGAATGTGCAAAAGCCTTCCATGCAGCTGGCTCCAAGCTGGTGCTCTGTGGCAGAGATAGTGAGAAACTCAAGGACCTGGTGCAGGAGCTTTCTACCATGACCAACCACCGAAAGAACGTAAGTGAAGGAGCAGGAGAGGCTCCTTGTCTGGTGCTGCTAGGGTGTCTGTGCTTGTTCTTAGAGAAGTTACAGAATTGCTTGTGGGCTGTTGAGCAACAGGACAAATGCAACTCTGTGGTGAGGGATAGGTACTGCTGGAGGAGTGCACTGAGCTGACATGTCCTATCTTGTGAAAACTCAACAGAAATAAGCCAGCTGAAAGGCTCTTTGCCTTGGAATGGAAGTGAAGGATTGAGAGTGCAGAGTGCGCAGGCCCCTTACACCTGTGGATCATGTATTGAATTGGGAAAAGGGACTTTCCTTCTGTTGGCTTTTGGTTTTGAGGTCTAGTTGTGCTGACAGTGGCCAAGAAAGGTATTGCTGGCTTCTGAAGAAGACACATGGATTAAATATTTTACAATTTCAGATGCATTTTCTTTAATAAGACAACAGCAAACTTTGGTACTTGAGGAAGATCTCACTTGCCCCTTCCCTAGGCTGTGGTATAAGGAACAGGCTATAGAAACAGTAAAGGCAAGAGCAAAACCTGCTTCTGTCACATAGTCCTACCAAATGTATCTGCCAGGATCTGCCTGCACAAGGTGGGGTGGTTGGGTGTCCTGCTTCTGTGCTTCCAGAGCTGGGGAATCCCAGAATAAGCATGAACATACAGCACATTCAGCACAGGCTGAACTGGTCTTTTGCCAACTTTTGTCTATTCACAGGCCCACAAACCTCACACTGTGGTGTTTGACCTCTCAGACACTAAAACTGTCCTCAGTGCTGCTGAAGAGATCCTGAAGTACCTGGGACACGTGGACATACTGATCAACAATGCAGGCATCAGCTTCCGAGGCACCATTGCGGACACAGGGCTGGATGTGGACAAGAGAGTGATGGAAACTAATTATTTTGGTCCTGTAGCCCTCACCAAAGGTACCTGTGATCCAGATGACCAGGGGACAATGGATTTGGGCTGATACCTTCTGGGGCAAACAGAGCTGAGCACAGCTTGTGTTTGCAGTATGTACAGTGTAAGAGGGGAGGAACGTTTTGGTTTATGGGCAGGGCTGAAGTTGATGCTTGGACATGACTGCATGGGGGGGTACCTGATCAGAGAGAGCACCTAGTATGAAACACCTCCTGACTCTAGTCTGGCAGGAGCTGATGAAGGGAAACATGGATAGCCTGTCTGCACTGATTAACCCTTGAGAATGCAGTGTGGCTTCTAGGTGAAGCTTCCTTGGAAGCTCCCTCAGCTACAAGGGAAGTTCAGCCCGGGGGGGAGGCAGCAGGAAACTGAAAGATGTACAGGTGGCAGAAAAGAGCAAGTCCTGGTGACCATGCCTGTGGGATCACAGCAACTGGAGCAGCCTTTCTGCAGCCTCATTGGCACAAGGAGTCTCCTGGTAGGTGGAGGTCCCAGCCAGAATGCAGTGCCAGAGGCATCCCAAGCACTATCCCTTGCCCAACCCCTGCACTGAACAAGGAACTTAACTCATTTGGGCATCTCTGAAAGCATCAAGTCCTGTCTGCAGCAGTGGCAGTGCTGTTATTCTGAATGGGTCTTTTCTGTCTTTTTCTAGCCCTTCTCCCCTCCATGATCAAGAGGAGACAAGGCCACATTGTGGCCATAAGCAGCGTTCAAGGCAAAATAAGCATTCCTTTCAGATCTGCCTGTAAGTCCCTCCAGAGAAGATGGGGAAGACATATTTGGGGCACCAGACTGAATGAATACTTGGCTCCTGCTTCCACACTGAGCTCTCCACAGAGCTGCCTGCAGGCAGGGAGGGCAGAGCTGGGCATCATTCTCAGTGTGGTCACAAACCAACAGCTGTGGAGGAAGGGACTCCCAAGTACAGAATCTTAGCCCTGTCTTAAGGGATGGGGAAGGAGACTGTATTTTCAGTGTCTTGAAAAGAGCTTGAGACTTAACACTTGAGAGTCCCTATAAACTCCCTCATTAATTCCATAGTTTTATTGCATTTTATCCTTGCTGTTTGCTTGGTTACTCTCCTATCAGAAAACTTTTTTGTTTTGATAAGTTATGAAGTGCCATAGTACAGGCAATGACAAGAGAAAAGCCTAAACAGTTAGCTTGATCCAGCAAACTTCATGCTAAATCAGTTCTGACAAGAAATAATATTGGTGAGATTGCTGGGAAAAGCCATATAAAAGAAGAACTAAAAGGAGAGTGTTTGGCACAAAAGCATCTGTAAATCAGTGAAAATAAAGATACAGATGGAACAGTACAGTGGGGATGACATAAGAGTGGTAGGGCATGATGTAAAGGAAATGTGGAAGATCTGGGCCATCTGGTCTGACAGATGATGTGGGTATGATTGCACCACCAAGTGTGCTCTGAAGCTTCCAGAGCTGTTGCTCCTCAGGCAGCCTGTGCCCAGCCCCATGCTGCCCACAGCCCTCAGAGGTGATGGCAGTGACCAAGTACACATGGAAAGGGAACCAGCAAAAGGAGTCTCAGCCACTCAACAGGGGAGATCCTGCCCCAGGCCACACTTCTCCTGTCTGGTGTGTAAGCAGGTTCTGACTTGTGTGCAGACAAGCCCAGAACCTGCTCTGCAAGTCCAAGTAGGGAGCAGGGTGCTGGGCAGACTGTCAGCTCTGCCCTCCTGCCCTGGCATCCCATTCTCCCAGCCTGTCTTACCAAGTGCTTCCCAGGCCAGGCTTCATGTCTCCTTCATTGCAAGTGGGAGGAAGGTTGGGTTCACTCTAGTGCTTTGGCAGGGCTATGATATTAAGCTCAGGATCCTAGCCAGTTTCTAACTTGAGTATTTACATTTTGCCTTCCTAAATTGCCTCTCACTCCTACTGCCTGTTGCTGCCATTCACTAAAAAAAGAAAACAACAAAACCAAAGCTAGAAGTTGGAGAACAGCTGCTGGGTTCTTGTGAGAAGTGGCTGCATTGCAGTCACAAATCCCTTCAGGGGAGTGAATCTTCCTTCAGCCCTGCTTCTTCTCCTTACTGCATAATCCTTTTCCTGTTTTTCAGATGCTGCCTCTAAGCATGCCACCCAGGCCTTCTTTGACTGTCTTCGAGCAGAGGTGGAGCAGTATGACATTGATGTGACAGTTATCAGCCCTGGCTACATTCAGACAAACCTCTCCCTCAATGCTGTGACAGCAGATGGATCTCGCTATGGAGGTGAGATGTCATTTTGTGCCCTCTATCTAAACCATCTCACTGAGTTACTCCAAACTAAGTTTGCAACATATGACCTCTGGTAGTATCAAAAGACAACTTTGGATACAGGGTATGAACAACAACCCCCAAAATTTAGCTTTCCTAAACAGCAATTATGGAATAACTTAGTTCAACCTGTCTGTGGTCCCATACACAAGCAGCCATGGACAGTTATACCAGAGCATCCCTAGGAAAGGTGTTGAAAGGTGGGCTTACCTGCTGGTGTTGGTGCTTACTGGGCTTTCTTTTGGCAGTGATGGACAAGACCACAGCTGAAGGACAGACAGCTGCAGAGGTGGCTCAGGTGGTTCTCAGTGCAGTGGGACAGAAGAAGAAGGAGGTACTTGTGGCTGGGCTCACCCCCTGCCTGGCTGTCTACCTGAGGAACCTCTGCCCCAGGCTCTTCTTCACCTTAATGGCCACTAGAGCGAAGAAGGAGAGAAAAGCAAAGGGCTCTTAAGAGCTCAGCTCATCCAGCAGTAACTGTAGGGAGAGGCTGAGCCCCTGCAGTTTGGCTGGGACATCACTGGAGGTGTTCCTGTAGGAACAACCTTTCTCAAAATGCTGGAATTTACCTTTGCATGGAGGGTGGGAAGCGGTTTCCCCCACATCAGGACAGGCCCACTTGCTGGAAGACAACACCTCACCTCACCTGAGGTGACAAGAAGGCTGGGACAAAGGGGGAGAGCTGAGGCTGCAGTGGAGGGTAACTCTTGGGAACACTTTGCAGCAGGGGAGGCCCATGTGCTGGACGACAGCACCTCACTCCAGCTCAGCTTTCCTGGCCTGCTACAAATAAAACCCACCTGGTTTGTCCTCAGATGAGCAGATCTTGGCTTTCCCCACCCAGTGGCCCCTGTGCAATCCAGGCCCCAGCTCGGAGCTCCTGTGATCAGTGTCTCCTTCCCACTCCTCCCAGTCTGATCTAGAACATGTTGCTTGAAGTGGGAAGGTTCCCAGAGCCCCTGCTTGTTAACATGCCAAATCTGCTGATACAAAAAGCTCAAGTCCACTGCCACTTTCAGAGAAGTAACTGATGTCAAATGTAGGTTTTATTTGTCAATTACTTTATCTGCCTGAATGCTGCCTTACTGACATCCAGGGACATTTAACTGCACTACCTGGCAGTGCAGTGTGAGCCCAGCAGAGGCTCCTGCAGGGAAGCACTGAACACACAGGGCACAGCAGGGTGTGCTGTTGGGTGTAAGCACTGAGCAGCTGGGAGCAGCACACCTGGGCCACCTGCAGCACAGGGTGGGTGCTGAGCACACTGTCTCCTGGCAAGCTGAGGAGAGTCTGTGTGAGTAAGGTGGGTATTATAGGAGACAGAGCCTCAGTTCTCATCTGTTTCAAAGATAACTAGGATCACATCCAATGGGGAGATGATACCTGCCTGTTCAGCAAGTCTGACAGCCTGAGGGTGTGCCCTGTGCTGGTCACCCCTTCTCCTGATGTGAGGGATACCAGCACCACTAGGGAAGAGGAGCAGCTGCACAGAGATGGTTCAGTAAGGACAGAAATAATATTTTTTAAATTGTAATTGAATTAAAGCCTACTAGGAGGAACTGAGGTCCAGACCCCTGCTGCCACCTCCATGCACTTGCCAGCATTCTCCATGTGTACTGCCTTGTATGTCCTGCCTGTGAATGCACATCTGATGACAAATAAATTATATTGCTATGAATTTTATCCTTTGTTCTACTTACAGCTCCTCACAGCAGGTAACATGAAGGGAAGGGAAAGCAGGAGGGTTTTAATTTTCTTTTCTTATGATCCTAGAAGGTGCTATTGTACTAGTAGTTGCAGAACAACATACTTCAACCCAGCCTTCTTTCCATCATCTGCTGGCTTACAGTTAGTGTGAATCCACACAGAGGATCAGTCACTGTGAAACTCTGACACAGGTGTGCAGGCTCAGCAGGACCTTCTCCTTGAAAAAGCCTTTTCTTGGTGTCTACAGGTTGGTCAGTGACCTCTGAGAATCACCCCAGATGATGAGCAGGACGTGTTTAATGATCACAATCTGCTGCTCAGTGAGAACATCTCTACCATCTCGCTGTGGCTGAGGTGGCAGATTTGTTACATAAAGGCCTAGGGTTGAAGTTACAAGTTGGAGCTTTCAGGTGTTAAATATTTTTCCTGTTAGGACAGGAAACCAAGGCATTACCTTCTCTCCCTCTCCACAATGGGACATTCTGTAAGCATAAGTTGTGCTTTTCTTTTCCTGTTCTGCTGAGGTTCTTAATTTCTTAGCAAAATACAGAGCTCCTGCCAGTCTTGTCCAGCTGCTCCAGCTCCTGGTGTTTCAGGTCATGGCTCTCCAGGAAGGGCCGAGGGGCTGCTCTGCATTTCTGGATTATCATCCAGGGGGGCAACACACCAGGCCTGAGGAAAAAATAAAACAAAAGTGTGGGGAGTTACTGTAGTTACTGTTCTAACTACAGCTCAAAGTCAGAGAGTACTGAGAGTGCACATTCCCCTTTGAAAGTAAATTCCCTCTGTGTGATGGAGGAACGTTGCACACTCCAGAGCATCCCCATCATGGGCAGGAAAGTGGGGGGGGAAGGGGGCTTGGAAGGGAGGTTTGTCCCCTGCCATTGCAACCCACTGACACCAGCCCAGGAGGATCACAGCCTGACCCTAGAGCCCTGCATGCAGCACCCACCCCTCTGATTCCCTGACATACACGACCCTTGAGACCCCTTCTCAGTCTCCCAAGTCACCTTGCACAATTACAGCACTGACTGACTAATAGCCAGGATGTCACGAAGCATTTCTTTATCACTAAAATTTCTTGGAAAACTAGTCCTCTCCCCTGCAGAATGGACCAAAGGTGCATTTTTAAAACAGACCCACCTGTTGTGACAGCTAAGTTGACTTCTCACCTTTTCTCCTGCAGTAAGAGACCACAGGAAACTTGGTCATTTTTAAGTCCAGTCTCTGATGCAAGCCATGCAGTGAGGGAGCCACCCAAGGGTTAGTCCTTCTGCCATCATCACCATTCCAGGCAAGGGAAAGCTTGGCACAAAAAAAAGAAGTGCCCAGGATCACAGAGGTTTGGTGAAGATTAAAAAACAAAAAAAAGAGCAGGTTTTTTTTCTTTTGTGTGGCTGGCACGAGGATATTTCAGGGCCTCCTGCAGCAATGGAGTGTGTATGAGCTGCAGATCTGCCCCTGGGCTACAACTCATCCAGCAGACTGGATTTGAGGAATGAATGTCAGGCCTGGAAGAGCAGCCTGCCCCAGGCTTGGCCTAACCACAGCAGGATGAAGTAGCTGCATTTCTTCCCCTCCTCTCTGCCAAGGCAACTGTACATTGTTGCTATAAATAGAGACACTCTGGATCTCAGCTTGTTTTAACCTTGGAGGGAGACAACTGGGCCACTGTACCAGAAGAGGCAAAGGGCTGTTGCCACCTAAAAACATCTCGATGAGTATCCTCCAGCCCACCAGCCTGCTCTGGTAGGGCTGCCCCTGCAGGTGGTAAAAGCACTTGCTCAGAATTCCCACACAGGCTGGGATGCACGTCCTGCTACACAGAAGCTGCCTCAGCAAAAACGCCGGAGTTGGAACCGTGGCCAAAGGAGCCTGCAGCAGCCTGGAGGTGGGGTGGTTCTTGCTGCCCTCAGGGAAGATAAAGATAGGACTGAATGTGGTTTCCAACCTCAGGAGACTCCTGTCCAAGGTCAGGGCTTCAGCCGTGGAGGTCAGACTGCAGCCAGCACCCTGCACCTGTGTGCATGAAGCTTTTATTCCTGGGCTTTGCTCTCGCCTCCAGATTCTAACACGAAGCTGCGCCAGGCGGGGCTGGGGAACACAAAGCCACGCCTGTTTTCCATCTGGGAGGAGGAGACTATAGACAGCAAATTCCCCTCTTTGAAAAGTGACTGGCAGATGGTGCAAAGCAGGAGACACTTTCCATTCCAAGAACAAGATTTTGACGGTTTTGAGCTAAAAGATGAGTTAATGCACAAGGTTGAATCCTAAACCTCCAGCTAACACAAGACACACTCAGGTGGATGCCCTGCAGCAGAGGCAGGCAGCTCCAGGGTCTGCTCCAAGCAAGAGTAGTGGAATGGCCTAGTGAGGGCACAGCCCTCCCAGTGTCACCACAAAGCACACAGGGGACAGCTGGACCTTGGCAGTCCTCAGCTGCCCCGCGGTACAGCACATGTCAGTGGAGCTGCATCCACCTAAGAACTTGTGCAGGATCTGAGCAGAGTGTTCACAGCTGGAAACTTTGTGTTCTCCCCATTGTTCAGAGGAATCATGGCTGGAGGTGGCCAGAGAGCAGGATTTGGACACCTTTAGCCCTGACCATCAACGTTTAAGCAACTACCAAGAAGATATAAACACTGGAGTAAGAACTAAGCCTCTTCCAAAAAGCACAACTCACCAAGCAAAAGGGAAAGCAACACTTTACCGCTGTTCCTTCAACAGATGGCTGCTGTGAAGTAACATAGAAGCTGCTGTGAAGTAGCATGGAGGCTGCTGCCATGTGCAGTGGACAAGAGGAATACCAGGTCTGTGTGTGAGCATGCATCAATCACTACCATCACTGGAGTTCTCAGAGCAAAGCCTCCATCCCCTGGAAACACACTATAAAAAGGGAACTATGATAACAGTAACAAGAGATCAAAAGCATTTGAAATTCTCATCCTTTAATGGTCAATGATAACTTCTGGCTGGTTCTGTGTAATACAATTAAACAATATACTTAAATGTTTCCAAAAAAAAAAAAAAAAAAAAAAAAAAAAGCTCTCACACCCCCTCTTCCTATAACTTTCTTTCATCAACATTCCACTGCTGGATTGGACTCCCCTGGCCTGACATACAGCTCTCAAGTCACCACACATCCACATCCTAAGTGTAACGAAGAACTGAAAAACCTTGGTGCACCAGTGATGTGTTATTTTAAAAATAACAGCTCTATTAAACCAAATCCTTCCCAGTCTCCACTGCTTCTCAAAAGAGGAAAAACAAAACGTTACTGTGGGAGTCTTAATACACTTGTCTTTGTGGGTTTCTCTCTTCCCTGCTGAAGTCATACAGCATAGAGTTCATAGATCTTCTTTACACAGTACACCAGGGCAGCCAGTGCTATCGTGTTGTGCAGTCTCTTTCTGTGCAGGTCGTCCTTCCTCACCAGCACCACGGGGGTGGAGGAGGTGAGCGTATGCAGGGGCAGGCGGGAAAGTTTATAGGCATCATACTCCACTTGGTACTTGCAACAGGGATCAAACTGCCAGGAGATACCATAGAGGGTGCAGCAAGCCACGCTCAGCACACCAGCGGGCAGGGAGATGTAGTGAGAATAATCTACTGGAAGTGCCAGAGGGGTGAAGAGGCAGGTTGTGCCCGCCAGCACGGCCGTCTTGTGCAGGCAGTTCCCCACGGTGATCCAACGCGCCGTCTCGTCCCCGATGCGCGTGGGCTCAATCACTATGTACTTGTACTGCG